AATTTCTGAGGCAGAGCTGGGATCCACCGTGATTCCACCACTTCTAATTTTTAGGTGTCTGCTTTGAAACTGTCCCGGCAAATATCCAGAGTGGCAGTACAGTAACTTCAAACCCTCTGTAGCAAAGCAGTTGGAACTTGGCAGAATTTGAGCTACATGGGTCACATTTTTGGAAATAATAAAGGGTTTAATGTTCTTTGTTTACTTTTTATTGGCATTAAATCCAGTAATTTCTTCCGGGTGTGAGGAGAGTTTCATTCCTTCCCGCTTTGCTCCCATTCAGTGCTCTCTGCCCTCTTCATTCTTCCCTCCCAGCTCCTCTCTTTATTTTTGTAGGACTTGTCTCACCTAAAAATTTTGACTTCTCTTCTTCTTATTCCCTCAGCTCAATAAAAGTCCCTCATCAGGTTCATGAGTATAATTTAAATCCTAGAAGAGAAAGTCCCTGTGGCAGATGAGGGGCCCACAGGGCACCGGTGACAGACAGCTCTGCAGACTCTGGGCAGGGGTTTGGGATGGCAGTGGGACCTCAGGGAGGCCACAGGGCTGCGCGCAGCTTCCAGAGACAAAGCTGGGAAGCTCAGAGTGTCTTGCCGCAGAATTCAGTCTATGTAGAAAGGCAGCTTGGAATATTCTACCAAAGGAAGAGAGCCTCCCATCCTTTGGAATTTACCTAAAATGTTAGCATGTTGGAACTATTCAAATGTACTCCCTATCTTACTTGAAAATGAAGGGCATTTCCAGCTGCAGGATGGAGTGTGTGTGTGTGTGTGTGTGTGTGTGTGTGTGTGTGAGAGAGAGAGTGGAGTGTGAGTGTGTGAGTCTGTGTGTGTGACAGAATGTGAGAGGTGTGTGTGACTGTGTGTGTCTATGAGAGTGTGTGACTGTGTTTGAGAGTATGTGTGTGGCTGTGTATGCGTGTGTGTGTATGTGTGTCTCTGGCTGTGTATGAGTGTGTGTATGTGTATGACTGTGACAGTGTGTGTGTGAGAGTGTCTGTGGCTGTGTATGACTGTGTGTGTATGAGAGTGTATGTGTCTCTGGCTATGTATGGGTGTGTGTGTGTATGTGTGTGGCTGTGTATGAATGTATGTGTGCGTGATTGTGTGTGAGAGTATGTGTGGCTGTGTATGAGAGTGTATGTGTGTGAGTGTATGTGTGTGTGACAGTGTATATGACTGGCTATATATGAGTGTGTGAGTGTATGTGTGTGTGACTGTGTGTAAATGTGGCTGTGTAAGTGTATGTGACAATGTGACTGTGTGTGTGTGGCTGTGTATGAGTGTGTCTGTGTGTGTGTGACTGTGTGAGTGTGTGTGACTATGTACATGTGTAAGAGTGTCTGTGGCTGTGTATGAGTGTGTGTGACTGAGTGTGTGTGATTGTGACTGTGTGTCTCTGTGTGACTGTGAGAGTGTTGTGACTGTAACTGAGTGTATACATGTGTATGTGTGTGGCTGTGTATGAGAGTGTGTGTGTGTGACTGTGAGAGTGTGTGGGACTGTGTGTGTGTTTGTCGCTGTGTATGAGAGTGTGTGAGTGTGTGTGTGACTGGGAGTGTATGTGACTGTGTGTGTGTCTGTGGCTGTGTATGAGAGAGAGAGAGAGTGTGTGTGTGTGTGTCTGTGGCTATGTATGAGTGTGTATGTGACTGAGAGTATGTGTGACTCTGTGTGTGGCTGTGTATGAGAGTGTGTGACCGAGTGTGTGTGTGTGTGTGTCTGTGGCTGTGTATGAGAATGTGTGAGTGTGTGGGGCTTTGTGAGTGTGTGTGACTGTAAGTGTGTGTGTCTGTAGCTACGTATGAGTGTGTGTGTGTTTGTATGACTGAGAGCATGAGTGACTGAGTTTGTGTGTGTGGCAGTGGCTGTGTATGAGAGTGTGAGTGTGTGTGTGACTGAGTGTGTGACTGTGTGTGTGACTGTGTATGAGTGTGTGTGTGTGTTTGTGTACATGTGTGTGGTGTGCATGCTGCAGCATTTGTCATCTCTCTGCTGCCTGCAGGTTGCCCTTGACGCCTTGGCTTTCATCCCATCCTCCCATCCAGACTTTCCCCTTGCCCATGGAGGGCTTGTTGCTGGGTTTGTAGACACAATTTCGACTCGAGGACTAGAGCTTGTCAAAGGCCAGAGGAGGGCATGAGGGTTTGGGAGTGGGAGGCAGGGAGGAGGATGGAGGCAGAAAGGGGCCAGTGTCCTGGTGAAGCCACATGGCCCCAGGACAGCCTGCTGCCCTGGAGAGTGCCCCAGACCACCCCAGGAGCCTGCCTGGGGAATGGCTCAGATAGAACCTACAGGCAGCCCCTCCAGACCCCTTGGTTCTGAAAGGGAGGAAGATGCAAGAGTCCCTTCTGAAAGGAAAGGATGGGGTTAAAGAAGAGACAGAGGATGAGGACTGAGGAATCACTGGGCACGTAAATGCTGGTGCTATGGCTCATCAGGCGGGGGTAGAGGAGAGGAGTAGCAGAAGTTTCTAGATCCTTTACATTTCTGATGTTTGGGGAGAGACATTACTTAATATGAGTGAGATTGACTATGATAAAATCGAATAGAACACATATAATAAAAGATGTGGTTCCTGTAGGTGCTGTGGTCAGGGAAGACTTTCTGGAGATGGTGGGCTTGAGCTAGACCCATGCAGAAAAGGAGGAAGGCAGACCAGTTGAAGAAAACTGCATGAGGAAAGGGACAGGGTTGAGAATTTGCATGTGTCTTTGGGGGCTATGAGATCAGATTTCTTTAGAACCTACAGGCAGCCCCTTCAGATATTTCCTTAAAATTACTAGTAAGAGAGAAGTGTGATAAGTAACACAACTGGGCCCTGAGCGTGGGAAATGCATGGTGTGCATGGTACAATAAAGCCTTACTATGAACTAGAAATGAACGAAAACATTTCAGCAAGATTTAAATAAGATTGCCAGACTAAAAAGCGTTCTATTGGCATGGTGCAGAGCTCTGCCATTGGCTGTTTACTGTAGACCTTATTAATGACTGGGATGAAGAAAAGGAAGAATGGGTGTTAAGTTAGTGGCTGACTTAAAGCTATATACTATCATCATTCATGAGATTATGCAACCGAGATTCAAAAAGATTTTCTGATTTTGCTGGGCTGGAAGATGCCCAAATAAGGAATGAAATTGAGTGGAGATAGATGTAAAATACCCTTAAGCTCCATAGCATCCATCATCATCCAAGGACAGACAGGGAAGCAGCACATGCAGATAAAGCGTGCACCTCTCTGCAGGCTCAGGGAGACTCCTCGGCGGCTCGGACCCAGCACAGGAGACGCCACTGCCACACATTTGCCCTTGTCATGGTCCCCAGAATCATGCATTGCATCCGGAGAGCAACATTTTCTGAGATACTCTGGCAAATTGGAGTGTATGCTGGGGAGGGCTCCCAGAAAGACAAAGGAGCTGCAAGTCCTATTGCAAGGAACTCAGGACCTGAGACAGTCCAGTTCAAAGAATACCTAAAGGGAAGTGGTACGGGGCTGTATCCTAACATTTCAAGAACTGTGATGTTGGAAAAAAGCATTGGATTTACCGATGTGTTCTGTTACATGGAACCAAGCCCAATAGGTACATTTGAACGTGAGAGTTTGGATCAGTGCAAAGAGGAGCTTTCTTTTTCTTTTTCTTTACTTTGCCTTTGTCTTGTCTTGTCTGGCTGCCCATCCTTCCTTCCTTCTTTCTTTCTCTTTTTGTTTCTTTCCTTTTCTTTTCTTTTCTTTCTTTCTTTCTTTTTTTTTTTTTTTTTTTTGAGACAGAGTCTCACTCTGTCACCAGGCACCAGGCTGGAGTGCAATGACTCGATCTCGACTCACTGCAACCTCCACCTCCCAGGTTCAAGCAATTCTCCTGCCTCAGCCTCCCGAGTAGCTGGGACTACAGGCGCGTGCCACCACGCCCAACTAATTTTTTTGTGTTTTTAGTAGAGGCGGGGTTTCACCATGTTGGCCAGGATGGTCTTGATCTCTTGACCTCGTGATCCGCCTGCCTCGGCCTCTCAAAGTGCTGGGATTACAGGCGTGAGCCACCGCGCCCGGCTCTTTTTTTTTTTTTTTTTTTTTTTTTGAGTTGGAATCTTTCTCTGTTACTGAGGCTGGAATGCAGTGCTATGATCATGGCTTATTGCAGCCTAGAAATCCTGAGCTCAAGCAATCCTCCTGGTGGAGCCTCCAAGTCCCTGGGACTACAGATATGCATCACCATGCCTGGCTAATTAAAAAAAATTAGAGATGGGGGTCTCACTGTTGCCTGGGCTCCTCTCAAACTCCTGGCCTTAAGTGATCCTCCCACCTTGACCTCCCAAAGTGCTGAGATTACAGGCATGAGCCATTACACCCAGCACACAGGATTTTTCTAGTACAGCAGCTCAGAAATGACAGAGTCCGTCCATTGAGGGGAGAGGTGCCCGGAACAAGTTGGATACGGATAGTTTCTACACTGTGTGGGTTGGGCCAAGGGATCTCCCTGATCCCCTGCAGTTCTACACGTCTATAAACCCTGATGGAGGTGAGTGCTAGAGCGAAGCCAAGGCAAGGGATGGTTTCATTCATTTGTTAGTGCAATCAACAAACATTTGTTATGTTCCAGGTACTGTTCTAGGTGCTGGGGATATAGCCATGAATGCAGCAGAGACCTTCAGAAAGCACATCAGCAGTTGGGGTGGGGACTAACTGCACAGGGGCATCAGGGAATTTTTTGGAGTGATGGAAATGTTCTGTCTATTCATCAACACAGGTGTATACATTTGTCAAAACTCATTGGATTGTACTTAAAATAGATACATTTTGTTTTATGTAAGTGATACCTCAATAAATCATTTCATCCCAGTGAGAGGGAAGAGACACTCATCAGATGGACAAATCCGAGCGGTAGAAGGGACATGCGTAATGAGCCAGTTTTCATGAGCAGGAGGCAAGCATTGTGGTGCGGGAGAACAGAGGAAGGGAACACCACTTCAGAAAGGATTTTGCCCATTCTTTGTCTCCCCCAGGAGTATGAGTGCCTGGAGCAAGAAAACACCATGCTGCGGAGAGAGATCGGGAAGCTGACGGAGGAGCTGAAGCACCTGACAGAGGCACTGAAGGAGCACGAAAAGATGTGCCCACTGCTGCTCTGCCCCATGAACTTTGTGCCAGTGCCTCCCCGGCCAGACCCCGTGGCCGGCTGCCTGCCCCGATGAAGCCGAGGACACTCCTCTGCCCAACGAGGAGGCTTGGTTGTTTTCATACCTGAAAGGAAGGGTTTCCCTTCACAGTTGTATACAGGGGGCACCTGTGGCCAGGCCTCTTCCTAGGCACTCCAGGACCAGCCAGCTGTGTCCCCTGCAGACTGGGCTCAGCACGACGTCCAACAGGCGCCAGACTCACAGAGCCCTTGTGCAGATCCAGCATGGAGGCCACCCTCAGGAGTGGCTTCTCATCCACCCTGGCAGCTAGTGGGTTCTGCTGCTATGCAGAGCCATTCCTCTAGAATTTGGATAATAAAGATGCTTATTGTCTCCCCTTTCTCCAGTTCTTGGAATTTAGAGACACAATACACTTCCTCTTCCTGGAGAGGTCATCTTCTGACTGCTCAGGGTGTTCTGTAGCTCATGGGGCTTACCTCCCTGCCTGGCTGCTCTCCCACAGCCACATCCATGGCAGACAGGGGAGGTGGCTTTAGGGGGCTGTGTTGCCACTTCTAGGCCTTCAGAAGTCTTTGACCCAGCTGGGTCACAGAGGTGCATGCTGGGTGTGACCCGTGTCTGTGTCATGCTTTGCACAGCCTTCCACCTTGGCCAGCTCTCACACCCATGCTGCACTGGCATGGAAGATTTTCTATTCCAGGTTGGTTTTCTCAACTGCACTGTCCACTCCCAGGCCACCGTCTTGTTCTATAAGTTCTTGGGGGATATAGGATAGGGGAGGAACTTTGGATTAGTCTGAATCACAATTGAGTGGAGAAATTTGCCTCTTTATTTACACAGATATTTGGTTTAGATGAGAAGAGGACCAATTTCTTTTCAAAAGCCCTATCTACCCAATTCTCGTCTTTCAGGAAAAACGGAACCAAGCCAGGATGAAGCTGGCCCCAGCAAGGAAAACCAAGTGGGAAGACACTCCCCGTCCTCCAATTCTCTTTTTCCCTGGAAGAGAGATGGTTCTGGAGGGTGGAGCCATTCTGTCATAAAGGGAACAAGAAATAGGAACAGAAAGGAAAGTACTTGGTTGTAAATGTAAATGGTTAAAGAAGAAACAAGAAAGAAATAGAAGGCCGCCCCTCCCAGGGGTGAAGGACTTGCTGACTATTGGCTACTCCTCACAACCCCCGCCCCTTTCCAAGGGAGGGTTCCCCTTCCTTCTGGAGGCCTGCCTGGTCTCTAACGCTCACAGGCTGAAGGCTGCAAACTTGCCCTTGTCAGACGTGTTGGAAGGCTGCTGTTGGAGAGCAGGGCTCATGCCTGCTGGGAGTTGAGGGGCAGAAAGAAGGATTCAAGTTTTTAGTATAAGACACATTAAAATCATCCATTCTGACCCCTCCACTTTGCAGAGGAGGGGCTCAGGTGCAGCGAGGGGAAGAGACTTACTCCAGGTACCCCGCGGGAGAGCAGCAGAACCAGGCTGAGACCTCAGGTGGTCTCCCTTCTGATCCTCTGTGAATTCAGTCAGGCTGATGCAACAAGGAGGTAAACTGGGTGTGACTCAGCTAGTGTGTAAATGTGGTCAATCCTTCCATCCGCGCAGTCCAGATGAGCACCCAGTCTGTGATGGTGGACTTGGAGCCAAGGTCCCAGGGGTCTCTGCAGCTGTGAGTAGGAACATACAAAGTGTGTGCCTGGCACATGCAGGAGCTTTGCAGCTGCTGACTTTCAACTCCAGGAATGTATGGCCCTGCAGGAGTCTCGCCCTGATCCCGCAGAACTTCCAAGTTCTCCAGGGATGTGGACTCCTCTGGCTGCCCTTACTGTCCGCTGACCTGCTCCGACCCTTAAGGCCATTGCTGTTCTACTGCCTGCTCCCCTACTCCACTGAAAACCCCAGGGTGCCCAGGCCCGCTGGCCTCATTGGCCTGAGTATCCTTTAGCCCTGACCAGCCTGACCTCATGTGATCCCTGGCTTCATGTCATCATCCTTGTTAGTCCCCTAGCTTCCATTTGCTGTGAGCCCTCAAGGCCTTGCAGTTCCCCAGCCCCTCTACTCTGGCTGGGAGGCTAGGTAGGAGAGGGTCCATGGGGTATGAGGCAAGGGACTGTGTCCCAGAGGTGACAGTGCATCACTTCCCCACGATTCAGTGTCCAGAACTTAGTCACCTACCCCCATCCAGCTACAAGGGAGGTCAGGAAATGAAATTTAGTCAAGCGCTGAGTGAGAGGAAGAACTGGTCTGTCAGGCTCTACCAGAAGATTGAGCCTTTGCTCCCACCCCCTCACCGGAACTGCCTCCTTGGAGTTCACCAATAAGCTCTGGTGACTAAATCTAATGGTCACATCCCAAGTCTTCTTTTCCTTTACTTCCCAACAGCCTATGACAACGGCTTTACCTTTCTTCTTTGTTCTACCTGCTTCTTCTCAGCCATCAGCTATCCCTATGCTGATAACTTTCCCGTCTGTACCCAGAGCTCAGCTCTCTCTCCAAGGGGCAGACCTGTGGATCCATTCAGCTGCCTGTTAGGTGTCTCTCAGAGGATGTCTCGCAGCGCCTCCCACTCAACATGGCCCAGGATACACTCATGATCTCATTGTCTTCCCCTCAAACATGCTTCTCAATCTGTTTTTACCTGTTTAATCAAAGGTCCATCATCCACCTGGCTAGAAACCTATTGATTTCTCTGTGTTCCCAAGCTAATCTGCCAAGTCCTGTGGATTTTGTCTCCTAAATATCTCCCAGATCCAGCCACTTTGCTGCAATATGTTAATTGCTTTATCTGTGATCAAGAACTTTATTCAAATTAGCCACTGAACTCAGGCATCTTTCTCCCTAGCTGCTGTGTTGAGCTGGAGGTTGAGCTTGTATTTTGGGGAGATCAAGACTGCCTCCACTTTCAATGGGAAAGCAATAAATTTGGAAGCAGGGAACCAAAACGAAGCAGCCCATGATGCTGGGGGTCAAGGCCCCTCTGAGATAACTTGTAATGGGACCACAGTCCTCAAAACCAATGTCCCCTGGGCCTACTCATGCCTGAAAAAGTAAAAATTCTGGAGACTATAAGCCTGAGAAAGTGTTGTATTCTTCCAGGAGGGACTAGAGAAGTAGATAGGCCGCTGAGGACTGGATTTGCATGGTTCTATTCACACTGCCGCTGGCACCAGGCCTTGTGCTGGGCATCTGCATCTCAAGTCTCAGAACAGCTGCCTGCTGGGCTTGGGGAAGGAAGACAGCCTGAGAAAGGCCCCCTCAGCAAAGAAAGTATCAGAGAGGGAGGAAGTCCTTCCTTCACACCCACATAGCCACACCACTTCCTGTCCGCAATCCCACCCTGTATTGCACCAGCCAGCCTTGAACCTTGGGGTTTCCATTCAGTAATCAGGACCCAATTTTGGCCCCAAATCTTGGTTAAGAATGATGACTCTCACAGACAGGAAAGTGAGAATCCCAAAAGCCCCTCTCTTCTTTCCCATCAATGCTAGGGTCTCTGCCCCCGACGGGGGTATTTACTGACACAGGGCTGTGGGCTTTGCCCCAGCAAGAACTAGAAAAAAAAAAAAGGAGCCCTCAGCTATCAGTGAGACCCCTTCCCTCCCTCCCTGGAGGCCCAGGAGGTCCTGGCAGGGTCATCGTGCTGCAGGAAGGAGGCTTGTAAAAGTGAACCAGGGAGCAAAAAGAAAGCAAGAATGGAGAGGAGAAAGGAGAAAAGGAAGGGAAGGAAAGAGGGATGGAAAAGGGAAAGAGGGAATGGGGATCCTTGTTCTCTGAACTTAAGCCATCCCTTCTCCTGGGGAGGGTTTGCCGAATCCACAGGAGGGTGTGCTGGGGGAAGTTCCCCCAGGCCACCATAATGCTGCATAATTTGAGGTTTGAGGGTGTGGGCAACCAAGGCCCCAATCTCTGGAAACTCTTGTATGCTTGGAGTCATGGGAACTTTTATGGAGGACCCATCTGGAAATGGACCATCTTGATGAAAGTGTCCCACCTTATCTAACTGGGACAAAGAAGATAGGTGTGGTCAACACCATCACCGTGGACACCCTCACCATTAGCATGACCCACAACAAAAGTTTGTATTTAGCAGTGGTGGTGCACTTGGCGTGGTATGCTTAAAGGGCTTGAACCCTAAGTCCAAGGCTGTGTTCAGGACAAATGGACCCTTGAAACACATCACCTGCTCTCTTGGGTGTTCTAGCATAACCTTTTCTGGTATATTCTTAAGAAAACCAGAAATATCATCACAGATCAGAACAAAGTCTACTAGCCCAGAATCTAACCACAGACCTGAGGGAAAGTGCAAGGGAGAGTCCAATGTTTGCATTCTACCACACCATCCTGAAAGGCCAGAGATGAGCCCTGGAACTTCCCTGACTTCCCTTAATAACCTGCTACTTATCTGTTGATTTCTAAGTCAAGACTCATCTGGAACTGGTTTAAGTTTTCAGTTGCCTTGTGCAGGATATAAACTTCCACTGTGCTCTGAAATTGGCCCCTGTGTTGTCTGAACTTGAGGGTGACAGGTTCTTGGACAACGTGTCATCATTGCTGTTGCCCAGAAGCCTGGGAGGAAGGACCATTTTCCAAGCATCCTCAGCTTTCACGGAGCTTCCTCAGGCTTTCCTTCAGGCTAAAGACCAAAAAGTACCTTCCAGAATGTCACAAACCCACAGAAGGCTCAATTCACCAGGCAGTACTTTTTGAAATTGAGAGAGAAAGTTTGAGAAACACCAGTGGCAGCCAGCAACCCGATGCTGAGGGTGGAAAGAATAAGCGAAAGTACCTCCCAGCAGTTCTTTAATTTGTTACAGCTAATTTGCAAATTCGCTCTAACAATATGGAATATGAAATCTTTATTAGGAATAAATTATTTATGCTAATTGTAAATATTATTAATTATAAACAAATATTAATTTATGCAGATCATAAATAATAATCCTATTTCAATAAACTAATAATTTTTATAAAAATAACTATAATATAAAAATAATTAAAATAATGATTAATGATTCATTATTATTAATTTACAAATTATTGTTCAGACAATGAATGGTTAAGTGCCATTCATTGTTGATGAATTCATTGTTGATGAACAAGTAATGAATTCTGCGTGTTGTGGGGAAACAAGATACACAAGGGAAAGACACATTCCCCCACCCACATATACCTTAAGGGGCACCCTTATCATACAACTTCTAAAATCTCACCTTTAGACCTGGCTCATTTTCATCAGAGGAAATCTAATGCTTTCCCCCATCTGGTCTGAACAGGAAACATGCCTACTGAGATTGTAAGCAACAGATTATAATTGATTGGAAGCAGTACTCATTCCTATATGCCTGGTTGCTTAGCACCATGCCTAGCACACGGTAAGCATTAAAAAAAAAGTTCTGTGTGACTGACTGAATGAATGGGTACTCCCTCCCTAGCCA